ACACCGGGTAACTTGTACATTGCCAATTATTCGTTTATATCACTTCCATCCATTAAGTCAAGGGGCGCCAACACAACAAAAAGGACATTTTAGTTTTTCTGGTGCATTACATTTGGATTCGAACGAACTGTGGTGCCATGGTATACACAATACACTGAGGGATGAGAGAAATTAGCTAGACACAATTTTAATGACACTGAGATGGGAGCCAACCATTCTTGAGAGGTTAACTTCATCTGTCTTAATTCAATCCACAAGTAACTACAGATGCACTAATAAACAGTAATCCACTTGACTTCAAACTATTATTTGATAATAGTTAATTAGAAATAATGGTTCCCTCTTTCTTCATGGTCAAGTCTTCTTATTTGACCAAAATTCTATATTGAAATGTGAGGGCATCCCTCCCTCGCCATTGAGTCCAGACTTAACATTTTTAAACAAGGACATATCCTCACCCCCCTTAAAACAATGGTTTGGGGATCAAATCTAGTCTCGACGAGATATTGGACGCTTCACTCCCAAAATAGGTGGACGTGCAATCTGCTCATGTGTTTATGTAACGGACAAGATTGTTTGTGAAGGAGGACAGATTACCACTGGGAGAAACTATACATATCCCAAATTGCACACACACATATTTATGACTGTGCATTGGGAAGTTATAGGAGGTCTCCACTGCGTCACTTGGGCGTTGTCTGGTTGTAAATATATTCCTGTTGCTCAGTACCAAAGACACCTTACTAAACAAATCCCATGAGTTCACAGAGCCTGAAAGACAGCCACACACCCTTCTCTGCATCTATCTATGTCAAGCTCTATTGATTGAGGTCTATGACCTCCTACAGAGCCAAAGCGGAATAAAAAAAAGATGCTAGCCAGGAAGGCAACCTGGACCGGTATCTCTGAGGAGGAGGAGCGCACCAATATGTGTAAGTTATTCTCTCTTATTCTCTCACACATTCTTTCTGCCTTATGCTTCCCCAAATTGATTATGTATCTATTTTGAGAAGAGAGTCTAAGTGAAAGGGTGGGCGAGAGACCAAGCCGAATCAGTAAAAACACGACAGCAAAAAACAGAATATCCACAGGTCCGAAACAATCCCCAAAAATACCCAAAGAAAAAACAAAAGAAAAAAAAAACACACAAGGTGAAAGAAGCTGGCAAAACCATGGGAAGGGGGGCAAAAGGGTTTCTTTATAAAAGCCCACAAAGAACTCATGCAGGGAAGACACCACACCACCAGCCATCACCAGCTATTCTATGGACTGGTGCCACCGTGCAATCCGTTCAATATATTGTATCCACCCTATCTATTCAGGAGTATGTATATGCCCTTCTCGAGATCACAATGCAGAGCAGAATATGTGGATCGAATAGGTTCATTTGGTGGAGAAAGCATAGCCACAGCAATCACTCTCCCGGCTGCCACCACAGGAGGGTAGTAATAAACCCGCTCTATTAGACGGGAGAGCATTTTTCTATAGGGGGGGTGTGCCATAAGAGATAGCTCCTAATTTATAACCAAAATATACTGAGTTAAGCCTCAAAATAGAAGTGCGAAATTAAAGACAAAAACCTGGTAAGTTGTCAATTTCCTTTTTGGAGGGCGCACTCCATTGTTGGAAAGGAAACGAAATGGAGCATCCACAATCTCGTATTCAGATTCACCCCCTCCTATCAGGAAAATGTGACAAGTGATATGAATCACTCCGGCGCACTGAACCCAGTCCCTGGCAGAGCATTGTCCACAGAGAGATTCATCTATTGTTCTATATATATCTTCCCCTCTCTCTCTCCTCTCCGCACCTATCTTGAGTACCCATCCAGGTCTTGAGACCTTCTTGGAAGCGGAGTTAACATTCATCATGAGTTTATTTCGTATACATTTTTTTTTTGTTCCTTTCTTTCGTGCCCACCACACACGCCCCACAGTGGGTTGCGTTATCTGTTATGTTTCTTGATATGAGAGCGGAGAGGTCTATTAGCTTTGCGAGAGAGATCTTATATCTTTGTTCTCTAAGTTTATAAGGAAATTGGAGAACCAAAATATCCTCACTATCTCACACACACAAATCACATGTTTCTATCTATTTTTATATGGGTGTCCCATGAGGAGACACCCTATTTGGTCTTATTCTCCCATTCAACAGCATTTGTATAGCAATGAGGTACTATGATAAACTCATAGACAGGGGGAGACTCTAGATATTCTACATGAGATTGTCTTCACTCGTAAATAATGGGAAAAACCCATTATAAATAATTGCTCACCTATTTTTGTTCTTCCCCTTTTTTTTTTTCGTCCTAAACGTATACACCAGGAGTTGGTAAAAAAACACCTGAGAATAAAAATATCATTTTGATGGCCTCTTTTAACGCAACAAGGTAAAGAAACAGGCGAGATTATGGGAGTCCTGGAGAGCCCAATAGCCCTTTTTAACCAAGTGCCCCCAGCAAGTTATTTTTCCCTGAAGGAAACTTTTTTTTAAAATCCCCCAAGTGGCCAAAAAAAATAATTGGTTTTGCATAATTTAAGATTTTTAAATGCTGTAATTTTTTTTTTGTTTTTTCAATGGACCTTTTTTGTTTTCCTCCCACCACTAAGCTTCACAATGAAAATTCTAATCACCAAAAGCATTTTTTCCATGGTGCCCCCTATTGAAACTTTCCAAAAAATTGGTTTCCCAACTTTCAAGATAAAAAAAAGGAAAACAAAAGCAACAATTAATTTTTTTTGTCCCCTCTTGCGTTTTTTTTTTTTATTAGTTTTTTTTTTGCAAAAATCCCAGTGTTTTTTTAAAAACAAATCTTACCCCCCGGGCCATATTAGTGGAAGAAAAACCAAACTTTAACCGAATGGGTGGGGGAGGAGCCCAAAAACATGTACAACCATTGTTCCCACTACGCTTTTCTAAATTTTGATTGCCTTTTTTTTATAACCTCCTGCCACTGGAACAACCAAGAATATGAAATTTGACCAAATTGAAAAATACAAAAAAAATATAATTATGATTTGGAAGACCTTTGGGGGGTTTCCCCCGAAATTTCCCAACTCCTTGTAAAAACAAAAATTTTTTTTTTTTTTTTTTTTTTAAATAAATTGAAATTTGTTAATAGATTTGTCCGCCAAGGAATAAATATTAAGAGTTTCGGGGTAAAAAGTGTGACAAACAAGCCCCCGGCCTTTTCCCTAACATCCGATTGTTAAGCCTTTGTCTTTGTTGGGGTTGGGGGGTTTGACTGCCCATTCCTTGTGGGGGGGGTGTGCTACATGGGAAAACGTGGTGTGGGGGGTGAAGGCCCCCTGTTGTGATATATGTAATTTTTAGTGCCAATCGCAAATGTTTTTTTTTTTTTTTTTTCTTAAAATAAACGAGAAAAAAATGTCGGTTTTGGGGGTGGGTTATGTTCCCCATATGTAATGGTGAGTTTTTTATAATTGCAATGTGTTGGGGAGCAGCCCCCCGGGGGGTAATTCCATCTTTGGGTTTTTTTTTTTTGAGGTTGTAAAAATGGTTTTTAAAAATTCATGAACATAATAATGTGTTTTTCGGGGGTGTGGTTGTGGGTGCCGGGCCGGTGGGGGTTTTTTTTTTTTTTTTTTTTCCAAAGGGTTTTTTTTTACCATTTGTGCCTGTGGCGGGTGTAAAAAAAATGAATGGTAACATCAACCCCCAAATTAAAAACCCTCCC